CCCCCCCCGCCGATGTTTCTGGCCTTTTGTCTCTAATTATATTGGGGAAGAAGAAAGCACTAACTTCCAGCTACAGGTCAGGAAATTAAGAAATCAGACTTCTGTCTGTAAACCTCTGTTTGTTGTCGTTATACAAGGTAAAGATCTCTTGATGTCTGAGTGCATTTTATGGTGATAAAAGGCTGAGTTCAGCATGACTTTGTCGCTTTAAATAAAGTGTTTCAAGGTCATGGAGTCCCTGCTCAGTGCAATGTTTGGATGGTCAGTAGAGCAGTTAAACTGTGATCAATATGACTACAAGGGTATATATTTCTCTTAGGCACCCCTGCTAACTCCAAATAATAACCTGGAAAAGGGGGAAAATAAGTGAATTATATTTGTAGATTGTTAGATTATCATTAACACTGATAAAATAAAATGTATACAAGCATAATGGCGATCACACTATGTAAAACTAAGTAAGATCCCCTTGGACTTTTACTTAGATTTTTCTTTTGACAATATCCTCATGTTGGAATAATTAAATTGTATTACAGGCATTACATATATTTTTGCAGTTTAAAATTGAGGCTATTGCTCAGTTTGGATCATTGACATGTATTTCTAAACTTTGAATGTTATGGGAGTCTTATATTGATATTTGGGGTGTTGGTGACATTTAATATTACCACTCAGCAAAACTGATGTAAAATGCTTTCTAGAGTAACTGAGGGTCATTACTGTTTTAAAGCTTATATGGCCAAGTTATTTCACGGGAATTAATTTTTTGATCTTAGCACTATAATAGTAACAAAGTTTCTTTGTGCGTCGGCATTTTTAAAGGTATAATGGAGTAGAATTAAGTGTGATTTGAGTTTTATTTAATGTTGTATTTTTTGTCTGGGATCTTAGAAGAAAAGAGATGAGAAGTTGTCCTGTAAAGATACTAATTTAGTAGTCCTATTAAATATACTCATCTACATATCTTTTTGTTTTGTGTGTTTTAACTTCATTCTGTGATGTATTTATTTATTTACTGACTTAAATGTGACTAAACTTGATATGTAACTATTCCTATAGACACAGTCAGCAAGTACGAGTTTATATATGCTTACTGTAGATCTGAGTGAAATTAGATAACCACTAATAATACAGTCCAATTATATTAAGCTGCCAACAAAAGAGCTAACCAAAAACTTACTAAACAGAATCAGAGTTTAGTATCACTGTTCAGTGGTAGCTGTCAGCTTTCTGCTACTTTGGGTTGGCTTGTATAATAACAACACGTGGCACTGCTAGCTGTGAGCACATTGTCTAGATAATTTTTATGAAATAAAAAGTGAACACCACATTCGGTTTCTCTACACAATTACTGCAACATTGAGTAGCACTGATGTACAAGCTGAAATCCAGACTTTTGATTTTTGAACTGTTCAGAAATGCTTAGTTCATATGCATTAGATATTCTTTAGGCAAACTTGACAACAAGAAATCCGTGGGCCCCGATGGGATGCACCCATGAATGCTGAGGGAGCTGGACAGTTATTGCTAGGCCATTCTCCATCATCTTTAAGACGTCGTGGAGAACAGGAGAGGTGCCTGAGGACTGGAAGAAAGCCAGTGTCACTCCAGTCTTCAAAAAGGGCCAGAAGGAAGACCCAGGAAACTACAGGCCTGTTAGCCTCACCTGCATCCCTGGAAAGGTGATGGAACAGCTCATCCTGGATGCCATCTCTAAGCATGTGGAGGAAACAAAGGTGACTGGGAGTAGTCAGCATGGATTTACCAAGGGGAAATCATGCTTAACTAATCTGCTAGCATTCTGTGACGGAATGGCTGGCTGGGTAGATGAGGGGAGAGCAGTGGATGTGGATGTTGTGTACCTTGTCTTTGGCAAGGCTTTCGACACTGATGCCCATAACATCCTCACAGATAAACTCAGGCAGTGCAGGTTAGATGAGTAGATGGTGAGGTGGATTGAGAACTGGCTGAATGGTAGAGTTCAGGGGGTTGTTATCAGTGGTGCAGTCTGGTTGGAGGCCTGTAGCTAGTGGCATCCCCCAGGGATCAATACTGGGTCCAATATTGTTCAATTTATTCATCAGTGACCTGGATGAAGAGACAGAGTGTACCCTCAAGAAGTTTGCTGATGATACAAAACCGTGAATGGCTGACACACCAGAAGGCTGTGTTGCCATTCAGAGAGACCTGGACAGGCTGGAGGGTTGGGTCGAGAGGAACCTCATGTAGTTCAACAAAGGCAAGCAGAGCATTCTGCACCTAGGGAGGAATAACCCTGTGCACCGGTACAGATTGGGGGTTGGCATTCTGGAAAGCGGCTTGGCAGAGAAGGGCCTAGGAGTCCTGGTGGACAACAAGTTAACTGTGAGCCAGCAATGTGTGCCCTTGTGGCCAAGAGGGCCAATGGTGTCCTAGGCTGCATTAAGAAGAGTGTTGCCAGCAGGTCAAGGGAAGTGATCTTCCCTCTGTGCTCAGCTCTGGTGAGGCCACATTTGGAGTACTGTGCCCAATTCTGGGCTCCTCAGTAGAAGAGAGAGAAGGCACTACTGGAGAGAGTCCAGTGGAGGGGTACAAAGATGAGTAGGGGACTGGAGCATCTGTCATATGAGGAAAGGCTGAGAGAGCTGGGCCTGTTTAGTCTGGAGAAGACTGAGAGATCTTAGCAATGTATACAAATATCTAAGGATGGAGCCAGACTATTTTCAGCGGGGCCCAGTGACAGGACAAGGGGCAACAGGCACAAACTGAAATACAGGAAGTTCCGTCTGACTATGAGGAGAAACTGCTTCACGGTGAGGGTGACAGAGCACTGGAATAGGTTGCACAGAGAGGTTGGGGAGTCTCCTTCTCTGGAGATATTCGAAACCTGCCTGGATGTAATTCTGTGCAATGTGCTCTAGATAATCGTGCTTGAGCACGAGGGCTGGACTGGAGGATCTCCAGAGGTCCCTTCCGACCTCAACTATTCTGTGATCCTGTGTATAATTCAGTACTTATCTTTTTCATTTTCAGTGTTGAATCCGGTTCTTCATCTCTTCTGTTTTGTATATTTTGGGGCTCTTTATTTACCTTGCGATTCTAAGCCTTCAGAGGTCATGTTTTTCAACTTTTCACCATAACAAAGAGAATGTATGAACTTTCTAATGTGAAAACTGAGATTTGTTTGTGTTGACACTAACTTGTATAAGTCTGCTGTATTGGTTCTTGTGAATCAATACTGCCCACTACATCCAAATGCATGTTGAAAAAAATGAATATTTTACACATCTGGAAATAGCAAATGCTGACTGGACATATAAGATGTACAAAAGTACACGTGTCAGTGCAAGGATGTTGATTAACTTGTTACAGTCAAGAAAAATCCTTTTATTTAGTTTTTTAGTTTTAGTTTGCAGAAATTATGTGGTTTTATATTTGTTAAGTTTTGAAGAAAAACAAAGCAGTGATTTTTACATACATCAACAACCAGGGTTACAAATGTTCAGCTTGATTTCATGTGAATGCTTTCATGAGAAGCTGTGAGATTAGGGCCTTGGTTTATATGAATATGGGGAAATTATTTTAAGAAGCAACATCTTAAACATGTATTACAAATAAAAATGTAATTTTGAGTATTCTGAGTTAAAATAGCCTTTGAAAATACCACTTTCTTGAAGTAGAGGTTTTTTAATAGCAAGATGTCAATGATTTTGATTCTGTCAGTATTGATAAAATAGTTTTTTTAAAGTGTGTTCCTGAGGTTTTTGTGATGGTTTTGCTGGTTTGACTTTGAAGTTTGTGACTAAAAGAAGAAGAAGTTTTATAAATAATGCAGGCTTTTAGACTTGTAACTCTATATTGTGTATGTTTTGGAGATTAGGGTGTAAAAGCAATTTCTTTTTAGCCTGGAGTTCAACTGAAAGGGTCTGTACTAGTCATCATGTCCCATTCTAGAGTAACTAGGATCACAGAACAGGCACTTAGCCTAGAAAAGTCCACAAAAAAAATCAAACTGGTACACTTCTCCTAAAGTCCACGAAGCACTTAACACTGTAATAGGTATAAGACTTTAGCACCTAAGATTGAAAGCAGTAGATGTTTGTGCACCAGAGGAACAAAGCAAGTGTTACCCTTTTTCAGGTTAAGATTTGGTGGTTGTGGGCTTTTTTTTGGTGGAAGGAGAGCAAGACAAAATTATACTTTTTAAAAAATAAATTAAAAATTACTTATTTCATTGACGTATGGTTTATTTTCTGATTTTTACAGTCATGAGGCTAACCAAACCTACTTTATTCACTAATATTCCGGTAACTTGTGAAGAAAGAGATTTGCCAGGTATGTTTTTCTGCTGACTGATTGTTATGTATGTATTACCAGGTTTAAGCAATGTGAGCATCTGAGACTTAGATGTTAGAGGAATCTTATGACCTCCCATAGACAAATCTGAAACAGCAATATATTTTATATTTGCTAGTGGTTATGGGAAAATACCAAGGTGCACTCTACAGCTCTTCACCTGCAGCATTGAAAGCTTAGTGATGATACTGCAAACAACTGACCTCAAAGTCTGAGCAATTAATACATGAGAAGGAAGGCAGTTGTGAGAGGAAAATGTGTAATTGTAGAAAGTTTGGTGTTACTACCTCCTTTATCAGGAGAAAATGCCCTGGTACTTAGAACCAACACGTGAATGCTCTATGGAAAAATATTTTTCAGGAATCACTGCTTTTGAATTGTGTTACACTTGGTGTACAGTCAAAAATTGGAAATCCCTGGGTTGTCCCACAGTAATAGTTGCAGTCTAGAGGTCAAGTATAAGAAAGATGCAAATGAAAGATTCAAGAAAAGAGTTGTGTGGAAATACAAAGCAAGCAGAGGTTGGTTAGTTTTGCTACGTAATGTGCTTTACACAGGCAGAATTTCCCTTCAAGTTTAATGTTAATTTGAGCAATGCCTTTGCTATTGTGCCCTTCAGTATATATCCTGAATGATTTATTGGGCACAAGTGCCTGGAAATAATTTATAATTTATAGGCAGGCCTATAGATAAGTATTTCATCCCTAAACAAGTTGGTTCTAAAATAAGTATGTTCAAAGTAAACGACACCTAAATAAGTGATTAAGTGTCATAACTTAAATGTAGACAAAGTTTTAGACTTAGCAAATGTTTAGGTACTAGCAATTTGATATTTCTACAGGTAATCTGTTTAACCAGCTCATGAAAGATGATCCTTCTACTGTAAAGGGAGCAGAAAATTTGATGCTAGGAGAAATGCTGACTTTGCCTCAAAATTTTGGGTAAGAATGAATTATTGTAACTGTAACATGCAAGGTTCAGGATTTACTTAATGATAATGTGTTTATTAATTTTCTTTTTTAACATCCTTGTTATGCAATGAGATGTTCAATCATTTTAAAAATAATCTGTGGCTTGATTTATATTGTGACATAATATATGAATATGTGCTGCCTGATGTTCCTTGTCTGTAGCCTGACTCTGAATGTAATAGGGATTGAAAGCTGAAAGAAATTTGCAACTGTAGGTGAATTTCTAACTTAATGCACTACTATATACCACAACTTATACTAACAGAGTTTACCACAGTGATTTTTGTGGATACTGCAAGCCATCTTCTTATCCTTCTCAAATTTTTATAGAGAAAAAAATTCTGATTTGTTTGTTCTCTTTTGAAGTTGTTTGTCTTAGAAGGATGACGTTTGGAAGTATGGGTGTGAAAATGCCAATGTTCTTTTAGGATTTGATCTGGCAAACACATGTGTGCACATGTGTGTATATATGTATTTTAATTACAGTTTAAAGGAGTTTCAGTGAAATGATCTGTATCTTTTTTTAAATAACTGTTACTAAACTTTTGTGTTTTTTAACATAGAAATATATTTCTGGGAGAAACATTTTCCAGTTACATTAGTGTACACAATGACAGTAATCAAGTTGTCAAGGATATACTGGTGAAGGTATGTGAAGATAAATCTGCTTACTGGATTTGTAAAATATAAAATATGTTGAGTATGTTTTCTGACAATATCTTGTATGTTTAGACTTTAGGAAATGGCTGCCACTTTTTCCAATCTAGAAAAAGTACTTGAAAATTAAGACATAAAAATATAAATGATGATAGAAGTCTTTAAAGATTAAAATTTAAAACAATGATTGTTTAAAAAAAATGGTATGTTATAAATGTTTTCTGGAGAATTGGTGTAGCAGAACTTCCACAGTGAAAAAACTGGAATTATATTCGCTTACTTGCAATTTCAATGAGGTCATCAAAGCAAGTCTCTGTAAAGCATGCACTGGCTTGTATTTTGCTTATATTTCAAATGAGTTGTTTTCTAGTGCATCAGTTCTTTGCGTTTTCTTCTGAACAAAAAATAGGTTGAGAATAGAAGTTCCATAAGTCATTGTGAAACTCAATGTAAAAAAGTAAATAGGGATTTTATAAGCTGCATGTTAAAGGATTGGACAATTTATATAGATTTTAGAGCTTGCCTTTAGCTTTTGACATCTTAATATATCTTAGTTATATTATATGTACAAAAGTATGTAGGGTACAAAATGCTCAGTGAAGCCTAGTACTTTATAACCTAAGTTATTTTTCTTTAGATTGCTTTAAGCAGCTGTGGTTGTAACCAATGCTTTGTTTTTCTGTCCCCAGGCTGATCTTCAGACAAGTTCTCAGCGCTTGAACCTTTCGGCTTCTAGTGCTGCAGTGGCAGAACTTAAACCTGACTGTTGCATTGATGATGTGATCCATCATGAAGTAAAGGAGATAGGAACACACATGTGAGTTTTTAAATTTTTCTATGATTAAATGAGCTTAAATGAAACTGCAGCACATGCATGCTGTTCTGTTGCTGCTTTGTATATCAATTTGTATATCAGGCACAAATTTAAAATAATTCAAAATTATTTTTTTTAAAAAATTGTTTCTTTCAGCTTAGTTTGTGCAGTAAGTTACACTACGCAGACAGGAGAGAAGATGTACTTCAGAAAGTTCTTCAAATTTCAGGTATTGCGCTAAATATTCTACTCTACTTTTAATAAGTGGGTGAATCTGGACAAGAAATTTTAAAACATTTGATACTTCAGAAGCACTTTTACATACTAATAATCTGTTTGACTTTTAAAAGTGAACCGGTAGAAACTGTTGCTTCAAACTTCACAGGAACTGATGGTTTCTAATTACCATGCAGTTAAACATTTCATAAATAATAAATATTGCATCTTATAATTTTATTCATTTATTGAGAATGAAAAAGGTAATCTTAAAAAAAACCCTTTTTACAGCAGCCAGCCTTGTGATTAAACAGAACAAGTATTGTTCATTCTGACTTCAACACATCTAACCTTTGAGTTTAGATTGTAAAATTCCCGTTTTTCCTTTAGCGTGTGTAACCTTTTTAAAATTGTAACTTAGTGGTTTGTTTTTTAATGGAAACTAAGCGAAGAATTCTAATGTGTTATATCTGACTAATATCCACAGAAGTCATTGATATAGTTGAAACCTTTTGTTCCAACACACGAATCTCAAGATTTGAGATTAGAGTAACTGAGGAAAGCAGGAAATTACTGTTATCTGTGGACTGGTTCTGGCAGGAAAGAGTCTGTTTTAGCTGTGTATTTAATGGATGTTTATTTTTTAGATAAATATGCTGAGACACGGATGATTATGGACTCTTCCCCATAGAATGGAGAATTAGGCAACATGATTTACGAAATACATTTTTAGATACTCTCACAGTGTCTGGCGATACAGGTGCATTATATAACTGAGACCTGTATCTTTTGGAAGCTGCAGGTGATTTTGTTTTGCTCTTTTCTAGCGTTCTATCTAGATACTTCAGAAAAAAGCATTTGTCTTTAGAAGGCTAAATTGCCATGAGCTACAAAGAACACTCGAGTGCTTTCAGTACTTGTGTGTCATGAAATGGCAGGTATAGATTAGTCAAAGGTGTTTCCAGACATTCCTAGGGAAAATCATTCCATATCAATTTTCATGTTACACTCTCCTCTGAACCCAGAAACTCTGCAGTGTTTCTTCGTCTATATTGCAGCTGATTCTCACCATTGCATGTTTTATTTTGCTCTCCTTGTGAAACTGTTTCCCTTTCATTTTCTTCTTTGTCTCCCAGGAGTTCAGTATTCTGTCCCTCTGTACCCTCTAGGCTTTCTCTGATTGCTAATGTATGCATCTGCAGGCTCTCAGTTCTCATCTTCTCTCCCTTCCCTACCCTTGTTCTTGCCAGAGCCTTGTGCAAGGTGCCTATTTGTCTCCTGTAGATTTTATATGGAAACTTATTTGCGCATGTTTTTCAGGGGTCTACATGCATAATGTAATTTCTATGCTTTTTAATTGTATCCAACACAGGCAACTTAATTTCAAAATAGCTAAGGCCAGCTATCTATCCAATTTGAAGCTCTTCCTTCAAAGAAGGAGGCATAAGAGCTTCTCAGAAAGTATACATACACTTTAACACCATTCTATAAATAGTCTCTGATTCATTATGAGAAAAACACTTCACTAAGCAATTTTGGTTTTAAATTTGACACGGAGACACCAGCTAGAAAATCTGAGAACAGACAAAAAGAAATATTACAGAAAATTGAACCATGTCTTTACAATGGTAATTGATGGCTGCTACTGATCAAGGTGCCACCAGCTATTTTATAATGACAAAAATTTTTCTCTTTGACAGATTCTCAGTTTTTTCTGTTATGTTTTCTAGGATCTTTTAAGTTGAACTGGTGCTACAGTTGGTTGTTAAACAGCTTCTTTTTCAGCCATTATATGTAGTTTAATACTGATCAATAGTGCCTTTTTGTTCCAAAGCTTTCTCTGAGTAATTAACACTATTATATTTATATAGAGAAGGAATGATTCTTTCTACAGTTTGATTGCTGTTTGGTTTGAGGGGGGTGGTTATGAACCTCACAATAATTATTTGATTTTTACTGGAATACCACTTGAAATTTACTGGAATGAATTGAAAGACTGTTTATCAGAAAGAGACAGAAAACATCATCATTTAGGGAAATTAATAAGAAGCTCACTGAAGCAAAATATTTGGCAGAAAAAAAACCACTCAACCGACACATACTTTGACTTTTTTTTGGACTAGAGAGAGAGATAGTTATGATTACTTGAAATATTTGAACATTATGCCTGTTGTAATGCAAGAATCTCTGTGAAGACTACTTTTCAATTCTTCAGGTCTAAATAATTTGTAACTTGGAACTTCAGAGGTCTCTCAGGATGCAGTACACCTATATGTAAACAAAAAAAAAGTTTCCCTATGTAAAGGGAAATAAATATCTTCAGGAAGATAATTTAAATTTATTTGCTTACAAGGATAATAGAAGATTATTTCTTTCAGTTACATCGGTGTATGTCAGTTTCATCTTTGAATGTGTTAACCACAGTGGCTTTATGCACAGAATTCAAGCACTTAAGAAATAACATTTTATTATCATCTTTCATATCATTAAATTGTTTTCTCTTCCTGTTTTAAACTCATGTGATAAAAATTATTTATTGGCTTTTTTATTTCTTGTAACAGTTGCATTTTCAAGAACGAAGTGAAGCCTAGTAATAGTTTATTGCTTAAGCTAATCACGTGAATAGTTCTCTATTTCATTTATTTTTAGAGAAACCCTAAGCAACTCTTGTTTGCTGCAGAACACTGGAGTACTCATAAAGGTTCTTGCTCACGCTTGAAAGCAAGAACGGACCACTTCAGGATACAAGATGGATGTAATGTTATTTTAAAGATAAAGATTTACTTAGTGCACTGGATTTGTCTGGTTTTGTAAGAGGCAAGTGCTTAGGTGGAGACGTATTTGTGTTCAATCTGAGAAAACTGTTCAGTAGCAAAGCAGTCAAGTGTGCAAATAAGAATCAGCAAGTATATACTCTGAATTGTGACATTTTAGCTAAGCTGATTAGCTATTTCCCATTCTACATCTGTTCTGTGTAACATCAAGAAGAAAAATAACACTTTAGTAAAAGGTCATATAAACAGTTTGTGCTGAAGTTGTCTAAGAAACCAACTGTCAGTCTGTCTTTTTTCCATTTCATTCAGGTTCTTAAACCACTAGATGTGAAAACCAAATTCTACAATGCTGAGGTAAGTGAGAGCTGTGTGGATTTGGATTTGTTTTGGTGTGCTGTGTTTATTACTTCACATTAGGTGGTCAGATTAAATTCAGAGAGCTGCTTAAGTACCCGTTTCTGAGAAAGATGATCAGTTCTAAAGGGAAAAAAATAGGTGGTGGGTTTATATAATTTAGTTTAAAAATGGGCATACTCTTGATGAAGGGAGGAAAGAGATGGTAACTAATGCAGACATGTCAGGGCCTTAATGCAATTGACTGATAATTTTACATATTTTCTGCTTTCCCATGAACTCCAAGACTTTTAGTTATTACTTGTATATTTAGACTGTAAAGGAGATTAATTGTTCACAAAGCAGATAATAATTTACCAGATTGGGGAAATTTAAATTTAAGTAATTGAACAGAGGGGTCATATTTACATTTAAACTTAAACTTTGAAATGTAAATATGTCCCTTCTGTTCAATAATTTAATTTTTAGGTTTGTGGCAGTTATACACTGTGCTTCAAAACTAAATGACGTTATATATGCCTTGTATGTTTATTTGGACATACTTAGGCATCTGTCTTTGTCTATTTATGGGAGAATTTTAACTGAAGGTGACACAAGTAGTGGAAACTCTTACAAGTTACAGCATTTTTTTTATTTGTAGACTTTCCCTCTGGATGTATGTATTATATAGGTCTGTTGTAGGGTATAAACTTCCACAATACCTAATTACATAGGCAGTTAGGACATTTGTTTCCATCATCACTTAACTGCTTTGTGATAGTGAGCAAGTAGCTTAATTTTGAGCACTGTATTCTGTATTGTTTGTATGAAGTTCAGACTGATACTTGCAAAGTACTTTGAGAGCTTCCATTATGAGGATTAAACTTTTTCCATAACCCCTGAAATATGGTCAGTCATTTGGTTGAAAACCTTCATTAGCCTTCTTTAACAGTTTGTCTGAAATAGTTTGAAAGATAGAGTGAAGTTGTAGGTTATGTTGCAGTGAATAGTAGGTGGAAGAAAAATGACCAAAGTGTCAGTGAGAGGAGAAAAAAATACATGGAACTTTGTCAATTTGAAAAATAACTTGTATTAAGCAAAGCAGAAAATATTTTGGTCTCCTGTTTGTTCTTAATTAAGCAAAATATGTGCTATGAATTTGCATCTAGAAAAGCAGAGGGCCTCCAGATCTATTGTTCGAATTATTTATCTATCATAGTCACGCCTGAGTTAATCATGCAAGATTATGGCTATAGAGGTGTGAAAGGTGTATTTCTCCCTCTGACAGTATCAATAGAGAAGACAGAAGGGAGAAATCACAGATAAGAATTTCTGCTTTACAAATGAGGATTCCAGGTGCAAAGATCTGTCTTGTTCAGAGTTGTGCAGGAAACTTTCCATAAAGATTTTCCTCTCTGCTGTGAATGAACAGCATGTAAATTATGAGACATTTAATATATAGCGTGTAATTTATTTAGAGGGAGCACAAATCAAGGCATAGGTCATAAAAAAAACTTAAATATAGTACAGAGTAAAAGAAAAAAACATCTTCCTAAAAATGTCTTCGTACATGTGTCTAGGCCACAGGCTTCAATCCTTAGGTTGACCAGGTGTGAGATATGTAAGTATATACCACTGGTCAAGTGCTTTATAGAACTTGTGCTATCCATAAATCGGAATATCTTGAAATGTCTCCTGCTGTTATTTAAGAACAAAACTAATCCTAAGAAACTAGGTAATTCCTCTGGGAACAAAATAAACCTCCATTTTGTGCATAGATTATATTATTGTTTCAGATATAAAATACGTGGTAGGGCAGAGAGGGCCAGATAAATGAAATGTTGCTGTCTCTCTCTTCTACACCTGTAAATTTTGTTTTGTGCTGAAACACTTCATAACGAATGGAAATAAAAACCTCTTTAAGGTAAAATCTGGGCAAATTCTTAATGTAGGTAAAAAGTATTGTTTTCTTACAAAATTGTTTTACTGACTGGCGTTGATAAAAGGCTTAATAAACTTCCTTCCTCAATTAGCCACCAATGCCTCATGATAAAGATCTATAAGAAGCTTTGGTGTCTGACCTGGTATCTGTGGTTTTTTGGTTTTGTTTTGGTTTGTTTTTTTTTACCCCCACCTGTAAAGGTTTTAAAAGACTGCTTTGATGCCTTTTGTTCTTCCTGTTCAGGAATTTATGCAACTCCCATTACCATAGTATCCATACGACTGGTTGAAAAAAAAATTTTTAAGATTTTGCGTGTTACTAACTAAGCAATTTTCTTTTGCCTTGCAAATTGTTATAGAACCATTCACATTTCATTTCTGAATATAAAGTGCTGCTATGCATTCTGACCACAAAGCCAAGTAAAATTTAAAAATGTAGAAATAAGTCTTTGGTTAGATGTTGTATGTGATACTACATTGCTGTCAAAGCACCAAGACCTTCATCCTAAATATTAAGAAAGACTGTAATACTTGGGAGCAGGGGAAGAAAAAAAAATAGTATGTGTCAGTTATTAGTTAACTAAAGGTCTTTAAAGGTTGACTAACGAGTTAAACTGTTACCATTAATATTACAGACATGATGCTATCTATGAATAAAGTCTGTCACTAAAATTATTTTCTACCAGAAAATCCATATTTTCAATTTTCTAAGCCAAGGAATGATGCTGAACCTTACTTTCCTTGCTTGTTGCTCATATTGCAGTAGCATCGAAATCAAGTTGATCACTGAAATTTGTGCATAGAATGCATGCCATCACCCTAACCTGCTGCAGTCCTGAGACTGAATTACCTGCCCCTGTCTATAGGAAGTCTCTCGCTGACTTTGGTGTGCCTTGGAAAAGGCACTGTAAAAGGTTCTGTTCGTGCAAACATGCATAGGGAGACAAATATGCAGACACATAAGAAAACAAAGTTTGCAATTAAAGTTAGGTTTTTGAATTATGGATATTTTAAAAAGAGTTTTACCTGATTATGTTATGCCAGATTTAGTTATAAACTGCAGTATTGTCGCTTTGCTAGAACACATTACCACCTTATTTTTATTTTGAGACGTTATATATGTGGATACTTCAAATTATCTGTAAAATGACAAGGACTATTCTTCCATTTCATATACAACCCATTTCATAGATTTAAATTCAGAACAAACTTTAAACTTGCTCAAAAATTCACTCTTTTTTTTTTTCTGGTCAGTTTGTTCTACCATATATTATCTGTGACTTACGTGCTTTAGGCTCTGCTTTTGATTGGGTCTGAAGCAAAGCTAGTAAACCATGTAACCATACTAGCTATAACTTGTTAGAAATGTAATTGTCATCTTTGTTTGCATCCATTTTTATTTATGTTTCTGTCTTACTAATGCTATCTTGTTTAGATGGTGCAAAAAAATGCAGAAATGCATTTTGTTTGAAAGTTAGCAGCCTCCTTTTTTCTTTAATATTTAACCCTAATTTCTCTAATGTGTTCTTTTTTTTGTTTTCCCATTAGAGTGACCTCAGTTCTGTGGTAATTTTTATTTATTTTTTATAAATATGTATGCTTTTTTAATTGCCTATCTGTCTCTGTGCTTGTTGTTGACATTCTTTTAAAGACATAATGGAAAAGCAATGTTTGTTCTGCATATCATGAACTGATGTTTTCTCATCTTTATATGTACAGCTAATCATCCAAATGGTTAGCTCTTTCTTTAATACCCATTGTTGAAACCAAAAGTTGTTTCTTATAGACTCTTGAGTGTCATTGTATAGAATACCTTACCAAAATGTGATTAGATTCATTATTTGAAAATGGGAGTTAATCCCTTCTAAAATTTTCCTGCCTTTGACCCATAGAAAGGTAGGTTTTACTACAGCACTGCTTGTGTAACCCTTAACAGAACTTTTTATGTCTGCTTGGTGGAGACAGTGGGTTTGAGGAGAGAGCAGCAGGTGGATGTTCTTCCTTCTTTTTGCTAGATGTAACTGCACTTTCCAACTTTTAACTGCATGTAACAGTTGATAAGTTAATATGATACTTCCGCAGTTTTATTTCACTTGTATTAAAATAAACTGCGTTCTTCTTAAGTACTTAAAGGATATTTTTGTGATATTAAACTGATCTAGGGATAACACAAAACTAACTTGCTTTTTCATTATGCTGCTTGTTTTTTTCTTTGCCCTTTCAAATTAGCTTTTTCTACATTTCTGCCTATGGTTGCTGCATTAAAAACAACTAAAATTTGGGTAAATGGACACTTTGAGCAATGGATTTATGGGATATAAACAGTACCAATTTAAGCGACAGTCAGGTGGTAGTAGTAGTGATTACTGAGAGCCACGTTTTAGTTGCGGTTATTTCCAGCTCCTTCTGCAAGTGTGAAGTCTGTTGGAACCTGTGGAGCTTGCACAGATTTCATTACTCTATATATGCTATCATCTGGTTTGTGTTTAACATGTTTATAAGGCAAAACAAATAGTTCCACTACCATTCTGTATTTCTCCTTCTAATGTCCTTTTTAAGACTAAAAATGTTTTGACTGCTTTGTCCTGCTTTATTTTGTAATTTACAAGCAGGACTCCATTTGTATAACGAAGTAATTTATTTACACTGATTAAAAAGAAACTGTAAGCTTCCTTCCACCTTCCCCATAAAAACACTTTTTATTTATCATAACTAAGTACCTGCACTGCTTCATACTGAATTTATAGAATAGAATATTTCCGTTGAAGGGACCTACAATGATCATATAATCCAACTGCCTGAATCAATAACTCTTGTACACACAAATTTAGTATACTCTCCCTGCCCCTCTCCCCCCCTTTTTTTAATTGGCACTTCTTTGGGTTTTTTTTTCACTTCTCCAAGGGCTCATACCTTTCGTAGACTAAGCATTCTCTAATTATTCTATCCTGAGAGTTTAGAGCTGCAAAATTACTTCACTGGTCTGCAGTTCCACAGAAGCAGTGAGGCAAAACCACCTCTAGTTCCATGTTTTTTCAGCTTCGGAAGTTTAACAGTCTGTATCTTTCATTCATGTACTAGAATTGGTCCTGATAAAACATCTTCAGACATTAGCTTAATTTAACAGATATGTCTTATAGGATGTTTTGAAGGTAGTTATATTGTTGGATGCATATATTGGTAACCATTGGCATGATGCAGCTGAGTGAGAGAGGAGGATGGTTTTTGCTTTCTAGCCAGCACACCAATGTTTCATAATAATAATAAAATCTCAGAGCATATACCTGAACTATTTTATTTCAGTTAAAGAAAAACACACACACTTATTTTATTTTTTTTATACAGCTCGATGCACTAGTGATCTGGCATGGCATGTTGTTGTGCACTGCAATTCCTTACCATTCATTCTATTTTTCATTTTTTTAATTATTTGGATTAAAACTTGAGTTGCTATTGAGATGATGAAAGTCTTGGAAGTGGCGATCTGATTAATGCATTACAAATAAGCAATAGCTAGAACATAGTGAAATTATCCCACATCCATTGTTTGTCAAGATACCTGTTGACTAACACTTTTGCTCCTGTTGTTACTGGGTGTAAGGTTTTTTTCTTACATAATTAATTTGATTTGCAGGCATGAACTAAACACGTGACTTTTTTTTTCTTTAACAATAGGATTGTATACTCTTTGTAATAACACTAATCACATTTTCATGAACTTGCACTTTCTTTTTTTTTTTTCAGACAGATGAAGTGTTTCTGGAAGCCCAGATTCAGAATATCACTACCTCTCCTATGTTTATGGAGAAGGTTTCTTTAGAGCCATCTATGATGTACAATGTTGCAGAACTGAACACAGTTGACACAGCAGGGGAAAGGTATGATCAGATTCAGGATACTTGACTTTGAAAGTCTTTGTATTATGACTTCATGATATGTAAGCATAACAGTTAGTGAGTTGTTTGTAACAGAAAGATTGTAGATCAAATTCCTGTTCAGTATTCATCTGGAAAAGCTGTTACAGTTTTCCTATTATAGAAACTATTCTTAAAACTTCGTAATTCTAGCTAGTAGATAAATCCCCAGCTTAATCCTCAAATAATGGGTAATGTGGATGACATGGTAACATGAAAACATACTACTTCTTCAGTATCTCCTATATAAAATTTAGCCCACATCTGGTTCTGACTTGATCTGTGTATACATATTTAGCCTTACAGGACCTATCTGACTTGTCCTTGGTTCCTTCTAGTAAACTGGTAGCTGTTTTCAGTTGTTCTAATCAAGATTTAGCAAGGCAGCAGTCAAGGTGAATCAATGGAATGCCCTTATAGGATCTTAGAATATAAAAATTTGTCATGCTGAAATAAATTAATTGTAATTTAATCCCAATTAGTAAAACACCAAATACCAGAAGAATTTTCTACTGTATCCAGTAAATGGTTGTGGATACAAAAGCTTGTAATATCTGGGTTGAAGTTAGCTTTGGCTGTTTGTGCTTTGCAGTTGCTTGGGTTTTTGGAGGAGGTGCTGTTTGGGTGATCCTGCAGTGAGGGCTGAAGTGACAACTCTTGTCTTCTCCTTGCCTGTTGAAGGGTGGCATAATGAAGCATTGTTCTTACAAAGTCTTTGCATCCACTGTAATAGTTCTGGTCCTGAACAGGAACCATAGGCTCATGACACAGAAATTGAGCGGGAGCAAACCAGATAGTGGAAGTAAAATTACCAGCATTGTTTAAATACTGAGGTGCCAGATGATAAATCATAATGTAGCAAAGTGGATTTTCACTTTAGTTCTCCCTGGCTCAGATGGTCCTTGATGCTACATAAATTCTGTATTGTTTTCTTTTGTGAAAACACAAAAAAAATTCTCTGTGTTTTGCCACGAATAAAATACACACACACACACAGAGTAAGACTGGTGAGGGACGGGAAAAAAGGTTGGGTTCTCAACTCTTCCTAAGAATACCTATTTAAATGAAGACCCAATGTTTTTTATTTTAGTGAGTCTACTTTTGGCTCAAGGACTTATTTACAACCTATGGATACCCGTCAATACTTATACTGCCTAAAACCAAAGCAAGAATTTGCAGAGAAAGCTGGAGTAATAAAAGGCGTAACAGTGATTGGTAAACTAGACATTGTATGGAAAACCAATCTGGGTGAACGAGGAAGGCTGCAAACTAGCCAGCTCCAAAGAATGGTAAGTTTAACTTAAGCCTCAATTTAACTTAGCATCCTCAAGGCAGCTCAATGAACAATTTAATAATGACTTAAAGGGAAAGTTCAATATGTTTACTTTCTGGACAGCATTCTGAATTCATGTTTCTATATGTATTTGAGAAGGTTATTTAATACATTTGGTCAGTGAAGTATGGAAAAAACACTATTCCAAGAGACTGTAGCTGAACAAAAGCATTCTTGTTCCTTTTGGTCATGTGAATGGTAAGATTTTTTGTTTTGCTGGTAATTTGTTTTCTGGCACATAAGATGCCTCTTTGTTTTTTCACAGCATGGAACAACATAACTTAATGGATTGTGCACTTAAATTGCCAGAATCAAGTAACCTATGTAGCAAAATACCTTGGTTAGAATAAAAATAATTTCTTGGATTCTACGTGGCAACAAACTGAAAAGCATTAACAAAAGAATTTATTTAAGTATGCTAACTGTTGATACTGTCTGCTCTCTAATTCATACAGACACTTTAGCTTCGAGTAACAATTTTTATGTGTAGGATAATACTATTTATCTTTCATGTCCACATTTTTGATTGAATCTTTTCTATTCTGGTTTATGTAGAAATTGTTCCTGAATTTTAAGTTGTAATTACTAGCTTGCTTAACTCAGGTGCACAGCCTGTCTACTCTACTGCCTAAACCTGACTTGCATCTTTTGAACTGAGGATGGTGCAATATGGGAGAGAATTTAAAAAGCTTTGGCAGTTGAATCTTAGTCTGAGCTTACAAAGCTTGTAATTGGGTTTGTCTCTGTTTCTCCCCACGCCCATCTTTTAGTAAACAGAGCAATTCTGTTTAATCACATTGACTTGGAACTAGGCAAGCAAACTTGGATCCTGGAAATTCACAGCTAAGTCACTAAAATTTCTCTTTGTTTTTAATTGAGGTATTAAGTATGGTTAATTCCATACTCTGGGCAATAATCTCATTTTTTGATGAAAACTACATTACTCATTTTGGTGTTACTGTAAGGCCTTTATCTCTAGCCATTAGTTCTTGCATGCATCTCATTGTTAAGGCCAGCAGGTATGTGCTAGTTTAGGCATTCTTTTTGGCTCTGATCCTCTTTATTTGGTCAATTGCTGCTAAGTTTATTCTATAAAATACTGCTTTTATGGTCTTTTTAAAAATATATATATCAATTTTTAAAAGAAGAGTCTAATGTTATGGCAAACTACCTGTTGTTTAGGGAACTAGGTATAATTTTCCAGTAGATTGCTTCCTGTTACCTAATACAGCTGAAGGTGTGTGCCGTTTTCCAGTGCTGGATAATTACTTCTTTCTTGAAAGGTTCCAAACATGGGTTGCTTGACTGGTGTGAAGTCTCCATCAGTTTGACATACCTTTGCTCACTCTAATGTTCAACTTAATACGCTTTCTAAAATGTCATCTGTCTTTAACATGTAATGAACTATATGTGACTAAAACCTGTTCCCAGGCTGACAATCACTGGCTTTGTGGACCTCTTTGGGAATATCTTTTAATCAAGCTGTAGATGTAACTTTTACTACAGCATCCTTATATCAGCAGAATTGGAATGTGTCACAACTATGCCCTGTCAGGCGGGACAAATTTTTCCCTTGTTTTTGCCTTAAGATCTATCATTTGTAGTGAGTGAAAATCTAAAGCTTTTTATCTGCAGGTTACCATCTTGAATCAGCCCTGGTTGGTAGTAAATAGGATATATATCATAAGTTTGTTAGTAAACCGTAATGAAATGTGTTTGGCTCTTGACAGTTGACAAGAGTTCATATCATGTGCTTTTCTAACTGGTGGCAATTAATTACTTTGGCAGAGGCTTGCAAGGAGACAGAACAATGTCTTAAAAACAGCAAGGAGAAAGAACAATGTCTTATTTCTTAGGTTGTGGAATAGTGGTGGGTTGATGCAGGAAAACTATACTTACATTTTCCGTAGTATATCTGTTATCTGCCTAACAGAGAGGTGTTAGAATAAATCTCATCCTCTCAGGAACTGTATGTGGGTCACCACTTTAAGCATGTGAACTATTTGCAAAACTTAGTAATAAAGATCATCCTTCTGTAATGAATTGTTAGACCTATCAAGAAGGTGGTCATCGGTAGTGGATGGAGCACTGCTGTGATTTGGGTACAAATCAAAAGCACGAACAGTTGATCTTCTTTCTTCAAATTCCTCTTATTCCAAGCTTGTTGCAGTAAATGAAGACTTCAGTAGTAAAAACTTCAGCTTTACTATCCAGCATCTGAGAATATACATTCTTGTACCTTCTTAGGCTCCTGGTTATGGCGATGTAAGGCTTTCTTTGGAAACAATACCGGACACAGTAAATTTGGAAGAACCTTTCGACATTACATGTAAAATAACAAACTGCAGGTAACAATGTCATGTGATTCTTGTGCTTTTTCCTCAGTGGGTAAGTTGTGCCTGTCTGTTTCATTTTTCAGTACTTTTCTACTGGAACAACTCAAACGTGGTCTTTACTATGAGTTGCAGCAACACAAATCTAATTGAAACACATTTTTTTGGATTACAATGATTTAAAAAAAAACAAAAACAAAGAAACAAAAAAAAAACTTCCATCATGACCTGTTAACAGTATTTGAACTAGGAGATTGCCAAAAATCTGTAGTGCTATTCCATGGAACCAGCTGCAATATCATTTAAGATTGCACCCATACTTAAATCACAAATCATGTTAGTTCTTCTTAGTTAACCTAATAACAAAATGAGCGTGTAGATAGGATTTCTTTAACTACAAGTAATTATATCAGAAAAACCTGCCATTTGTATCCAGTGTGGTTTTACCACTAGTTCTGCACCACTGCTAGAATGCCTGCTAAACATTGCCACCATAGTCTTTTTTACATTTATACATGTTTTGACATGATTTGTGTTTACAATAGGATTTATGGTAGCTCTTTATAAAAGGGTTACAAGAGTGACATTTAAATTAAGTAATTCTAAATAGAAGTTGAAGCCAGGGACTAAAGCATGTATCTGGTCTGCAGAGAACTTCTCATGAAAATCTTGTACTCCATCCAAAATGTGAGCTTTATTATGCTATCCAGTATTGCTAAAGCCATGACAGAATGCTCCTGTCATACATTACTGAATGAACTACTAACAAACAGCTGCATGAACTGAAGTACTGCACATCACAGTAGATCTTGCTTGCTGCCTTATAATTATTTATTAATGGTTGATTAATAGTAACCTGAATAATAAAGCAATCAAGCTTTTGCATGTCTGCAGTCCTTGAATGCTTAAAAAAAGCCCACAGGTTCATTCTTGCTTTTCAATTTCCTCTAGCAGTGAAAGGACTATGGATCTGGTTTTAGAAATGTGCAATACTAATTCCATCCACTGGTGTGGCGTTTCAGGAAGGCAGCTTGGAAAGCTGCACCCCAGTTCATCCCTCCATCTTGCACTTACATTGTTGTCTTCAGTGCAAGGATTGCAAGTAAGTCTTTATAGCATAGTTTCGTTACAACAGCTGTTTTATAAGCTAAGTAATTCTTTCTAATAACATCTCTTATAAATATTTTCCCTTTCTAGAGTGTCTCTGGCTTAAGACTTACAGACACGTTTTTGAAGAGAACATATGAGTATGATGATATTGCACAAGTCTGTGTAGTTTCTTCAGAAGTCAAACAAAGCTGAAGGAAAAAATCTCTATTTCTGCTGGGCTTTGATTTTTTGGACCAACTTCTTGATATTTTTTCATCCGAATCATATTAAAATGTGCACAAACAAAGCCAAATCCCTATCTATCTATAAATGTAACTATGCTTATTTAATTTCCCTGAGCATGTTTTGAATGTCTTAAAATCTTTCAAAAACATGACTATGGATTTTACCTACTGAAAATAAAGCCTTTGAAGAAAGTGTAGCTTTAGCAAATTATCATTGCATTAACATTACCTTGGGGAGGGGAGGGAGATTGATATGACATAGTAGTACTTTGTACTTACTTTTGTTATTTTAATGATTTTTAAAACATTATAACAGTTTTTAAATCGTGGTTCTGACAGAACTGCTTCAGTTGGAAGGAAATGTCCTTTTACAGACGAGTTCCTGGAATCCAAACCCCTAAAAGAAATACTTCGGGGTACCTGGCATGGCAGTGTTTTTTAATGGTACATGCACAGCCGTAAGAACTAGAGCCTGATAAAGGCATGAGATGAGAAAGTGCACCTCAGCAGTGCCAGCAGCTAGAAAGTAGAGTATCAGCCAAAGAATGTGCTGGTTGTGGCTCAGTCTTTGGAAAGGAGTAGTACAGCAAAGCTCACCCCAGTAGCTGCAGTCTTGTGCAGAGCTGTGTGTCCCTGCAATACAGGGCATGCCCCAAACAGGCATGTTCCTTCCCAAGTAGCAGGGAACTGAAAACTAAAAAAGCAGCACTTGGCCTTTTTTATTGTAAAACTGAGGCAGTGCAAATTGTTCTTCCCATGCTAGAGGCATTTAAGTAGACTTCTAGGAAAATGAGGAGAGAAAAAAACCCCTGCATGGCTGGCCTAGATCAAGTTCTCTAAAACATATGCAGGAAGGAATTCAGGACTTGGTTAAGCACTGAAATGTACTTTTCCCTAGCTTTGTTTTGCCAAAAGATGGAAATATTTTTTGCTGAAATATCCAAGGTCACCCAAAGGTAGCCATTTAATTCAGAAAAAGGTGTCAGGCTTTCCTACTTTAACACTATTTAAACTACTGTTAAAGAGTCTACTCAGTGGCTTGTCATATTTCTCAGGCTTTCCTGTGTTTAAAATCTTGTGTTTAAAAGTGTAGAATTCAATTTTAAAATATTGGGTACATTTAAGACCAGCTTACTGTATTGAGGGAACGAGCCCATAAAGGTAAAAAAAAATTGGACTAAATCCTTCACATCTAATAAAATGCTGAGCAACCAACGTGAACAGGTATTGTAAAGAATGCAATTTACCTATTACTCTAGATGTATCAACAAACTAAAACAGTAAAACCACAACTATCCACACAAAAAATGTAAAAACTTTATTTATAGTCTATAGTCAAGTTAAACTGACACAACTTGTAGGAGATGTAACCATATGGTAATAAGAGGTAGGAGAGATACAGAAATGGTAGACAAGTTGCATTTTGCCAGTATGAGTTCGCGCAGCCGGGAAACAGTGTATGGATCCAAAGCTGCAGACTTAGTTCTTTCTCTGTATGCATGAGTGATTTTACTTTGAACTTGTTACAAAACCAAAAGTGCAACTGAAACAATTTCTAAGCTGAATAATTCATCAGGTGTTTTTATGATCAGGCATAGCAGAAGAATATATTTCTATGCAAGCAGGCTACAGGAGTTACAATTTGAGTGCAAAACATTTTCTTCTCTAACAGTTATCACACTTACATGATGATGGAACAGTAATGATACAAAACCAGTCAGGTGCTAAATGCATATTTGCTCAGTTGAATGATAAACTGCAACTGACCTTAAATTAAAGCAGGATTTATGGGGATTGTGGTTTACCACTTGGTAAATGAAAAATTTTAGTGCAAAATAAAGTGCAGTTATTACACAGGAAAAGATTCCTTCCTCACCCTGTGATTAAGACATATTGCATGACTGTGAAACAATCTAGCTTATTCAAGGCAAAATAGACTTTAGCATAAATGATCCCTCTGTTCCTGGCTTCAATGGAAAAGTGTGTAATGACAGCTCCTGTTATTGGTTTCACTGTTTCTCATTTAGGCTAAAAAGCCCTTTCTCTTTGTATACAAGAAACAAAAGAGTGTTTACAAGTATTGTGCCAGTTGTAGCACATTCCTAAAGGGTTAGCTAATGGCATCAATGTTTTAATAAATAGTTTGGTTACATATTATCTGTACTGAAGTAAAACCTAAACGTGACAATATTGTATTATGTGAAATGAAACTTACCACTCTAAAAGATTATTTCAGGAGTAGTTTTCAGATAACTAACCAATGCTTCATTACATTTAATGCTGTGGATAGTTCTCCATAAATACAGCAAGCTACAGGGCTTGTACTTGGCAGTACAACTTCTACAGCCAGTCTTTCAATATTATCCTATTTTGTAGTTCTTAAGGAACTCTGAAGAGGTTCTTAACACTCTGTCTTAAAATGGAAAGGTAACTGACCGTGTGAAGGTTGCTGTCACAAAGTAAGTATAAATTGTGAGAGAAGTTGCAATGCTGTCCACTCCACTCTGGATTTATTGGTTGCCCTTCTCAAAATTAGTAAAACTCTCTTTGAGCAGTTGAAAATATGAAAGAGAGAACTGAGGGGAACTATGAACAGGAGATACACTCAGAGCAATGTTTCTCTCCTGACACAACACACTGCTCCAAGCAATGTTTGTACAGTAGTTATAGCCCACCTACAGCCTCCATCAATCTTTCTTGTAAGTGGTATCGTATCCTATTAAATGTAACTGAAGGTAAGTAACAGTTTTCCTGAATGGATTAGATTCAGGATCTGAACTACATCTGATAAAAGATCCTGTCAGGCATTTTCTTCTTTGTCATCAGATGTTAAGTCAGAAACTATTACTTGGAAGTGTATTTATGTAAAGCTTGAACTATTTCTACAGCCTCAAAAACGCCGGTACAGCAACTTACATATGAGAATTTTAATGTGGCATGTAGGCAAGCTCTATTGAATAAAGTATGAAATGTCAAAGATGCTTTACCTCTTTATTCAACAGATGTTAATACAGTTTTCCTATTTTTGTGGTTTCTACAGTACTTTTCCTTTCTCCTCGGATCCAGCTGCATTTTTCTCCCCATTTCAGTTATTGAATACTCATACAACAGATACACAGCTAGTATTTGTTAGAGTCAAGTGCATGACTTATCCCCAAATTTTGCATTTATGCTATGTAAGGTGCTTTTTTTTTGACCACAAGATGAATCAGATATAATGTCTGAGGTCCAGGAGTTCCTGTGTATTTCTCCATTTGGAAGTCTATTGTTACTCCTCCACATACCTTCTCCAGTGTCATGGGCCAGCAGAGGTCACTTTGTCTTAGGAATCAAAGCGGGCTCCTCAAATTAGATTTGTTATACAAAAAGAAAAGTGTGAGGGTTGAGAACCTCCCTGGAGTAAAAAAAAAAGTGTACCTTGTACCAGAAAGCAGTGTGAACAGTAAGCAGAATTAAAAAAGGTAACATAATAAAAATACAGAAAAACAGTGGTTTCTGAAGGAGTAAGATTAACTGAGCCAGAAAAGCTAGGGTAAGAACAGAAATACAGAGTATAAAAATCTTTATCTTGGCCATATAACCATCACTTAAGATAGATACATGTAATGAAACTAAAAAACAAACAAACAAAAAAAAACACCAAAAAAAACCCCACACCTTAATTATTTAAGCCAGTGATTTACCACACAAGAATAGAAAGAGAATCCTTTTTTCTAAGGCAATTATTTTTTGATAAATTTTCAGTACTAGTTATCTGTACAGTCAAAGATCAGTTTTAGCTTATTACACTTCAGAATTTTAAGATTATGTTAAACACTGCATACATACAGAATGTAATACAGTTTGCCATGCCCAGGAAAATAGCGCCATAATGCTGACCTCCAGGGCTACTATCACGATTTGAGGGTATACACAGCAGTAGAAAAGCCTAGAACTTTTTAATACTCTTCCCTTTCCCAAGCCAAGTTCCATTTTGGTTTGTGTTCCATTTTGTGTATTATCCAGGATTAGTGTCTTCTCTTTCTCTACAATTTGTGGTACTCTTTCATATGCAATCATCTCCCTCCCTCCTCCCCAATGAAGTTGAAAATTACTTCACATTACTAATGACAGCCCCTCCACAGGCTTAAGAAACAGACTTTTCAAGCATGAATTCTAAGTACATGCTATACTCCAACACTGATTTATGCTCATTATAAAAGGGCACATCAGATGGGCCTATTGTTTCAATATTTGACAAGGACTACAGCCATAATGATTTCAACAAGAATAATGTGCCCTTGACACTAGGATTTTAGAATTAAGCTGTTATCCAAGATCAG